GAAGGTCCCGTTCCCTGGAGGTGCCTCCGGCTGGTTGCTGTATTGTCTCTCTGGGCATCCACGGGTAGGGTTGGTGGAGGGGAGAAGGAGGCAATATGGCGCCTGCCGCACGGCTCGGGTCTGTGCACATGGAGGTGCCCCGAGGGATTTGGGAGCCTGGTGCCGCATCCGCTACAGGCTCACCTGGTGCCGCATCCACTACAGGTGGCGGCCATCTCTGGGCTGGTGTCCGCAGGTCTCTCCACCCGCTGGGGAGCCCACCAGCAGTCCCAGATGCAGGGAAGGGGAAACGGCAGATTCACCTACACTTCCCGCTGGTCTCTGGGCTGCTCCGGCAGTCTCAGCTTCCAGTTCTCCTCCGTAGCCTCCTCCCGTGGAGTCTCCTGGGGTCTCAGGTACCCCTCCTTCTGGCCCTCGTCTACTGTATGCTCGTCTTCTTGCTTCTTTTTTCTAATTTCTGCTAGAATCTGTCTTTTCTGCAAAGACACTTTGTCTGGCGGTGTTTCTCATCTGCCATCTTGATCTTCCCACCCCCCACCCCCACCTAGTGCCATTTTTAACAAAAATTCCCACTATAGGTAGTATAAATGAAGTCTCCATAGCCACACATAACACAGACTAGGTTTTCAATTTCTCAGATAATCATTTTCTTCCAAGACTAGGTAGAGAGAGCCTTCCTCAAAAGTTCTCTTGGTCAATGGGCATAGATTTTCTTCTTCTGCTCTTTCCAGCTGGCCATCTATCCAGTGTCTGGCTTTTATTCAGGATCTTAGCTCCAGTTCTTGCTCTCCTACCTCCACCAACTAGTTCAGGCCTAAAATTGCAGCATTTGTTGAATGTGAGCAATAAACACTAATTCCTAAGCCTGAGCATCTAAATCTAGTCAGATATGTCCTCCAGGCCACTGCAGTATCAATGTTGGAGCTACTGCTCAGACTTGAAGTTTGCTCTAAATTTCTGCCACTCAGAAATTCATCCTCTTTGTTTTGGGCTAAACTGTGCATTTGTATATTTTTTCCTATAGTTCTTCTAGTGTTTATAAGAGCATACCAGTTATGTCTGCCTGTGTGTGTATGTGTGTGTGTGAATAGCATGTCTATGTTTTCTCAATCCAATAGTTTGTCAATCTAGAAGTAGAATCCCATTGCATTTTTGCATTTCCCCAGGCAGCTCAAGCTCTATGTAACAAAAACTACCTTTATCATGATACTACCACAATTTTTTCCCATTTTTGTCTGTATTTCTGCCATAATTAATGGGACCCTGTATTCAAATGTAAAATTTTGAAATCATCTTAAATCCAACCTTTCTGTTGGTTCTCATATCCAATTAATCAGCAACCTAATTTTATAATTATAATATTTTACTTAACATATCCTAGCAATCACAGTGACTCAAGAATATAATGAATATAATATTCATCTTTCAGAATATTTGTGGAGATTAAATGAGATAAATAGGTCAGATAAGAAGTACTGTAAGGTTGGAGTTTTAGATTCAATAAATCAGCTACCAGCTACATAGTGACCCCAAGTCAACCTAGCTTTTGTATTTTAATTAGTAAGATTTATGGATTCTCACAAATTCACATATCTCACATGTCTACTTAGAATATATGAATGAAAAAATAAACACAGCACCTAAATATGTACCTCTCCCATAGTTTTTATGATTTTTCATTTTACTAGTTATTTGTGCATATAGAATGTCTGATTTCTCTTATAAACTGAAATGTCTATATGAATAAGTAAAAATTAATTAATTAAACATTAAAATTTAGGCTTTATTCTGTGCCAAGCACTTTTTCATATTTTATCTCATTTAATCTCTATAAATACCCTTATAATCATTATTATTATTCTCACTTTACAGAAGAGAGAATTTAGACACGTGGAAGTTACATACTTTAATGACAGTCACAAATAGAAAGGGGCAGACCCAGGATTTGGACAAATGGATCCCAGCTGCAAAGCTGAAAGTATTGGCTACTATGCCATTCTAAATGAATATATTAACAGCATATTAATAGTGGGGTTGCTGCCCTTTGGAAAAAGTCCAATTTGTCAAGTCCATTCTCAAATCAAGTACCCAAAACTAAACTCCAGTTCACATAATATACATGGAAAATGTGTTAGAACTCTTAACTTCTAGTTATAGAGAGTATATATCTTTTGATTCAATTTAATAAGGAGGTAGATCACCTGGTAGTCACATTACAATGTTGGTTTATATTGAGTTCACACATAAATGAAACAACTGACTTTCTTCCATATGGATTACTCATAATTTTTCCTCATGTTATTATAAAATTGAGTAGTTGTACTTTCTTAATCCGTGAAAGACCTAAAATATACTCCAATTAAATTGCATCTTCTTGCTTTTAGCTCATTAATAAAATCTGTTGACACTTTTCAAATCCTTATTTTGTCTTTGATAGTATTAATTAGTTATTTTTCCTGGGTTTTTGTCATTAGTTTTCAGTGTTTGTAAAATCACATACAAAAGATACTGGCAACAAATTAAAAAGTACATATTAGTTTTCCATAAAAGAGGCAAATAGGGATCTATTAACTTAAAACTAGCGTTGTGTCTCTGTATTGACATTTTGTTAAGAAAATGCTCTTGGCCGGTGTGGTAGCTCACACCTGTAATCCTAGCACTCTGGGAGGCCCAGGTGGGAGGATCACTGAGCTCAGGAGTTAGGAGACCAACCCGAGCAAGATTGAAACCCCATCTCTACTAAAAATAGTAAAAATTAACTGGGTGTGGTGGTGCATGCCTGTAGTCCCAGCTACCTGGGAGGAGGCTGAGGCAGGAGGATCGCTTGAGCTCAGGAGTTTGAAGTTGCTGTGAGCTATGATGACACCACTGCACTCTAGCCTGGGAGACAGAGTGAGACTCTATCTCAAAAAAAGAAGAAGAAAAGTAAAGAAAATAAAATGCTCTGAAATAAGGAGAGTTAAAAATCTTTTTGTGTTGTGAATCCATATATTTGTGTGAAGAAACAGGAAAAATATTTTCCATCTCTGCCTGAAATAAACAGCTTCTAATCCCCCATTGGAATGACTGTGGTACTGGTAAGAGAGCTGATGTGCTTTGAAAAGCCGTCATTGTAATGACATTAGACAAGGTACATAAAAATATTGTACAGTGAAATGAGATTAGCATGCAATTAAAGAATAAAGAGAGATTTCTCACTATAGTTAGTGGCAATACATGGAAAAGAATAAGGTCAAAATAGAGCAGACTTTTTTTTTAAATGAAAACTTATAATATTTAAGAAAATGTGCAAAGCTGAGATACAGAAGCACTGATGAAAAGCTCTCAGAATGGGGACCATAAAACCTTTGTGTATTTTAAGTGTAGCTGGGATTTTTGATATTAAGAAGAATATTTGTCATCAATGATTTTGGAAACATCAGTTGCTTTAAGGATATTGCAATCAAATGATTACCAAACACTCTAACATCACAATTGGGTGTCTCAAGTTTGTTCTGAACTCTGTGAATCTGATTTTCAGTAAGTTTGTCCTCATACATACTGATTCCAAAAATAAATACATTCTGAAACTTTACATGGGTCTGCCATTATTACTTTTTTTTAAAGTGTTTTGCAGAAACCACAGACTTTGTCTAAGTTTGAGTTTTCCCTCTCTCTCTCTCTCTCTCTCTTCTTTCTTCTTTCCCTCCCTCCTCTCTTCTTCTGCCTCCTCTTCTCCTCCTTCTCCTTCTCTCTCTCTCTTTCTTACCCTACCCCTCTCTCTACCACTTTCTCATTTTATTTTAGGTAATGTTAAGGTGGAGCTAAGTAAGTTCTACCTTTCAGCTTTGACTCAATGAAAATTGTGGCCCCAGGCACAGGATAACCAGAGTCTTGAGAACGTTCTTTTTATATGAAAGCCAACAATCACATTTTATTCCCTATCCTTTTCATGGTGAATAAGAATAATGAAGAAATTTGAGGGTAAATTAGTGTCCTCTCCATTTCAATAAATGGTAAGATGTCAATCTTGTCATTTCCAGGAAAACGTGGATAATATTATTGAAGATGTTAAAAAAATATGCAGTGTTCTAGGGTGTGTGGAAACCAAACAAATTACAGATGCAGCAAATGAACTAAGTCTAATTCTTCAGAGAAAAGCAGAGGTAAATATATTCATCTATTACACAGTCATAAATTTAAACCTGAGTTCAATAATTACTTAAGGAGTGAAAGACTTTGGACTAACCATTATTTTCTGTGTGTACGTGTGTTTGTGCATGTGTGTGCAAGTGTGTGCGTGCACCCAGAGTATATTTCACTTATATGGGGGAATGGCAGTCTGATTCTATTATGCCAAATGAATTTAATTGAATTAAAAGGAAATTTCTTACACCTTTGAAATTTGTAACTAGTGTGTAACTTCCAAGTGAAACTGAAATCAATCCTAACTAGATGAATGTACTTGTATAATATTCACATACAAGTGTTTGTATAGGCTGTTAATGGCATTCATGTGCACCAGTGTACATAGGTATAAGTTTCATGTGTAGGTGGAGAAGCACATATATAAAAGATCATTTTTGTAGTATCTTTCACTGAATTTGCAATGTACACTGCTTTTATGATTTCTGAGTGAATTTCTCTAGATCCCACATCCTGTAACGAGTTCCTGGCTTAGGGAATCAGAAGTAGAATTAAAATATGATTATGCCCAAGAAAAATATTAGGATATTTGGTCACAATAAATCCATTTATCTTATTACTATAGCAGATGATAAAGCAGAAAGATATAAGAATAATAACTAATATTTACTAGGGCATTTCAATATATAAAATAGTTTTACATATGCGTTACCTTGTTTAATTTATTTCAATTTATTTTATTTCAATTTATCCTCACAGCAATGTTGCACAGTTGGTATTTTAATGTTCATTTTATTATTAAAATCTGATGCTTAGAGTGCTTGTGTATAGAGAATTAATAAGCGGTAAAATACAGACTTGATATTTCAATAGATGTGAAACTTCATAAGAGAGAGTGAGCACATGCATTCCTTATCTACATAGAAGAGAACAATGGAGATTATACTACCTTTGAATATGCCAGCCTTGAAATTTCCAAAAGATTGATTTAAAAATGTAGACAATAATAGTATTATATATAAATCATTGTTTTTATTGCTTATTGCTTTAAATAGATGAGTGGCTATGAAAATTCAATCATTTCTTAATGTTGGGCTTTCTGTGCCTTATTTCAATTCAGACTTTTGTGTGATTAGGCAGTAAAAGTAAATATAGAAATTTAAATATATTCTTTATAGGAACAGTGAGAGCGATGATTCTGAGGAGTCATGGAGGCACAACTTCAAAATATTTAAAAAATAAACATTGATTAAAAACTAAAAACACAAAGCATTAAAGAAATCAAAGTTTAAATAATATAATCAATAAATCCCGAAATTCAATGTCTAAGGGAGATTCGTGTTTATTTTCCTAAGTTTTCCTTAATTTAGGAAATACCTAAATTTAAAAACACCTACTCTTTTACTTTCCAATTATAGAAGAAAATGGAATAATTATGTAGTCTCCAAAGCTGGTTTTGTGTATAAATATGATCTATGGTCTTCACGCATAATACCAAAGTAAGCAATCTGATGCGATGATAACATTTGATTTGATCACATTTTTCTAATCTGTGTTGGAGTACAAAATACATATACCACAGTCTTAAAAAACATACCACCAGTATTTTTTGAAAGAAATTTTTGATGAACTTAAAAACTTGGAAATTATATAGCACTAAAATAGCTTTATAATAGGTAAAGTTAGGTCAGGGTAATAATATAGTGAGAATTAGCTTTCAACAAGTAATTATTTCTCTTAGATTATCACACTTTGGAGACATTACAAGAACTGAGAGCTGACAATAAAATATCCTGAGCTTAGGGTAATGAAAAGTAAGTTCCAGACAGAGGAACAGGTTTGTCCCCATGAGTGGAGATGACCCTGAGTTTAAAGACAGAGTATGGAAAGTACAGTACACTCTCAAAGTCAATAGAGAGCCGACTGCTCTAATAAGGAACAGTGTCATCCCAGGGTTACGTCTGTCCTTTTTGCTAACCCCTAGTAACATGTCAAGCTGAGGGTGGAATATTCATGTCTTTTCAGGGAAGTGGGTGGAGATTTTCAGAATCATATACCCTTCCATCTTCTGTCTTTGTGTGGCTGGGTCTGGAACTGTCATGGCACTAGGGGGTATGAGTTTTACTATGTTAATGAGGGATAAGGTTACCTTTGGTCATAAGCTCTTACCTTCTGCACATGCTCCCAGTCAGGAAAAGTCCCTAAACTCAAGTTCTTGCTGTTGTGGTTGGTTTTCTTGGTTTTTATTGGTCCCAACCCTCAGCTCTTGGCCACATTTCCCTATCATCTGCCCTGCCACCTCTCATCCCTACCTAACATCCTGACAAGTATGAACCTTTGCCAGAGCAGGAGACCAGAGGTGCAGATATTCACACATGTCTTCCCATCTGTTAAGACTATTTGGCTGTTTTTCAACTTTTATGTCTATCTCTTGGTGAACTGGTAGAAACAAACAACTGAGCAAAGAATGAGGAAAATATAATTTTAGGGTGAAGCTCTTTAAATGATGTTAAAGTACTCCTAGATACAAAAAGCTTTATCTTCAAAACATTCATATTCTGAAACTTCCAAAAAGAACAAAATGACAATGTTCTCAGAAATATCTATCATTCAATATATCTGAAGCCAAAAGAACTCTTCATGGAGAAATTGGTTATTTCCTAGGAAAGCTATGAGGAATTATTATGCTCAATAAAAGCTCACATTCACATTTCACTTTCCTTATGAGTTAAGTTTTGTATGATTTTTCTTTGCAGCTTTTTAACTCATCTATTTATTCATCTTGTACTTTGATAAGACTAAAATGATTTTTATGTATAGAAATTTAAAAGAGAGTTGACAATTATGAGTTTTATTTAATATATATCAGTGTTCAAAGTATTCAATATTCCCCCCCAAAATGGATTCTATTTATTTGAATAGACTTTTAAAAGTTTATTTATTCTACTTCAGTAGCCTTCATACTTTTTTTCCGTCTCTTTTTCCATTCTATCTTGTGAGCCCACCTATATAAGAATGTTGGCACACACAATAAGTACATTTTCCAGAATTTGTGCAGTAGCCAGCTACAGTTCACAATGCCAAAGCAATTCAGTCTATCCACCCACCACAAACTTAAGATTGAAGAAATACTGAGAAATACAGGTCTTCTGCCAAAAGACTCTGACATTTGAGAAGCTTTTCTTTTCCTTGGCTGCACTTTCAGTCAATGTGCAAGAGTCTATTTCCTGCCACACAGGGAAGTAATTAGGCATTTATTAAATGTAAGTTTTGGCAAGATGAAGAATTATATCACAAACACAGTTGTACTCTATTTCATGCTCCCATCCAGCACTGGAAACAGCTTTTCATCCTTTAAATTATATTCCAGAAGTTCACATAATATATTTCCATTAAATGCTCACACAATAGAAGAACCACAAAGTAAAATATATGGTCTTTCACATTGTGGCGTAGGAGGATGTCATGGTGATTTTGTAATACAAGTCTGTATCTCTGAATAAAATGAATTCTAGTCAAGTCAGGCTAACATCTTTAATAGTCTCACCCACATGGATGGGGTAAAGATCTTACGTATAGTTAAGACTGGTATTAATAGTTGAAACTATACTCGGTGAAACATTTTACCTTGTAGAAATGCTTCGGAGAAGGTTCATGTGAATCATGCTTTTAACTAAAAAGTTGTATGTAAATTTAATCACATTTTAAACATGATAGAAATGTTCTTTCTCTAAAGGAACACTGTAGTAAGTTCTTTGATTCAGGAAAACAATATTCCCTAACCTATTTGTTTGAGAAATCTGGCTTTTGATTAAACGTATTTCCTTAAAAGTAAGCCTTCAAATTTTATTTTTTAAAAAGTCTTAAAGTTTTAAATTTTAAAAAATTTAGATTTAAAATAGATTTTATTAAAAAATTTAATTTTCTTTTGGACTGAAACCTTATTTTTCAGAAATCTATTAAACACTTTACATAGTATTCATGAGAATTAAGTTATAACTAGCAAATCCTAAGCCACCAAAGTAACTCTAGGATTCCAGTAAAATGGAAATAAAATGGACATTATTAGAAAATTTAATTTGAATTTTCTTTTGGGCTGGAAACTTATTTTTAGGAATTCTGTGAATAACCTTACATAGTTTTCATGATAATTAAGTTATAAACAGCAAATCCTAGGCTACCAAAGTAATTCTAGGCTTCCAACAAAAATAAAAATAAGTAAGGCCACCACACTAATGGACATGAACTTAAAGGACAATGACAATAAAAAAATAAGATTTTAGATTGTACTTTTTTTTAGAGTATGACTCAAGGCATTTTATTTTTCTGAGTGTTTGACTATTATTTCTTTTAAAATCCCTTTAAAAAAGAAAGAAATGAAACTATATAGTGACTCTGTATGATTTTCCCACCTCTTTTTGGTGCTGCCCAAAGTTTACTGAATGACTGAAATAAATAAGAGCTGGACACACTAAACAAAGAGAATTAGAAATGCACTTATATCCAAAAATTAGTCACTGTCATAGAAGGGAGATTGAGCTTAGACAATATCTGTAGAACTACTCTAATAATACTGAACGGTTGAACCTATTCTAGCAATTTCTTTTTATAAAAATCAAATAACCTACATTATTCGTTATAATATTCAGAAGGCTTTTCTTTAACCACACAATTTAGATTTCCTATGTTTAATAAGAAAATTGATATATGATGCGAAGACATATTTTGTCTTTTTTTTTTAATCCTGACAGAATTTATAATGTTCAGATTTTGGATATTATCAATTTTATTATTTTGTAAATTTGTTTTCTGAATAATAAGTATATCTGTACTCTTTCTTTTTCAGAATTTTTATCAAAATTCAGAGACTTCAGCAAAAGGTAAAACACTCTTATACTCAAATATTTTAAAAATGAATAAATAAAAGAAAAAAGTTATATTAATAGAACCCAAAATAATTTTTTCAATTTTTCATCCGAATACTGTGGTAACACGAAGACACAGACACACACAACCACAATGCTTTTTGAGAGAAAAAATGCTTTGCTAAAACCCTTTTATCAGTGGAAGTGATTATTCTGCAAGGGAAGAAAAATCTACACTCTCTAACCTTTTAGCTTGAATTTTTTTAAATACTGAGAAAAACCAGGAGATCTATAAAAGTTAAAAAACTGAAAATATTCTTATAACCATTCCGAAACACTGCAAAACTTTACCATTTACCTATGAATAAGTATATTTTGATGTAAGAAAAATCAGAAAAGTAGCAGATGTCTGTACTTGAAGTCACTCATTTCAAATTTAAATTCAAGCTATATTTGAACAACAAGTTAACGTAACAAATAGGAGGATCAGGTTGCCACTTTTTAACTCTGTGACCCTAGACTAAACTCCTTGGTCCTCAGGTTTCCTAACATGTATAAAAGATATGATTGGATTTAATATGTAGCCTGTGGTCAGGGTTGTTCTTGTTTGCATATGGTAGATGGTATTTGGCATAGGAACACTCTGGGTGTCTTCAAGGAAACTGTCTGCCTTGCAGATATTCAACCAACAGCCTTGTATTCAGTGGACTCCAATTGGAAAACAAATGATAACCCACCCTTCTTCCCTCTATACCCTTCATAGTTTCAGTAAACAGTTATGTACAGAGGGATATCCCCTCAACTCTAATTCCCACCACTCAAAAGAAGACATTCAATTACATTTGAGGAACTCCTCCACCTCGTATCACAGAAGAAAATGAGGTGGGAGAGGGTATGGAAACAAAAACCTGTGCTAGTACAAAACCCTCTGTCCCAGATATTCATAAAACTCCGGAGAGCACCATAGGGAAAGGAAAGGATGGATACCCCCTAATAATATCACTAACACAGAATCGAAGTGGTGGTGTGTGGAGTGGACAGCTGGAATTATGCCCCTATGCATCTGGCCCTTTCTTTTTTTCTACCAGAAATGTTGCAATGAGGTCTTCTCCCCCCGTATTCCTCTGGGGCTTGGAACATGAGATCCCATAAAAACTATACAGGAATCTTCCTGGAGACTCACATTCAATGATAAATCAAGACAGATTTGAATCAATAAGTTTTAATTGCGCATACATTGCCGTTGCCTTGTTATTTCTTGGCACTGTAAGTCTTTTCCAGAGTAAAATCAGGTGTGATAAACATTATTTCACCATATTTTACCACCATGCCCTTTGTCTTTCAGTCCTTAATACATTTTGATGATGGTATTTAAAATGTACTCTTCGTCCGGAATTCTGAAAGTAAAACATAATGCATAAGCATACCTCTCTATACAACCTCAAAGAAGCAAATTGTAACCAAAAACTGTATTTCTGCACACACAAAAAATAAGGAATAGAGTTTGAGTAAACACCCAGATAATTAAGATTCCCCCAAAATATGTGCTGAGGTTTAAATTAATAAGATCTCTAGCCCAACTTCATGATTTATTTTAGATGTGTATTCATTTGCACATTCGCACAAGATTGGGAATTATTGATGAAAAGTCTGTGCTTCCCGTTTCAGAGTATGAACAGTATAAATTGGGGACCAAGAAACAAGATGTTTCTATAATTCTATAAATTTATAATTCTCTGCTTCCTGTCGTTCCGAAGAATCTCTGTCGATTGGCCTCCAGAGTTTGATGAAACCTCTTCTAAGACTATTTTTAAGCTGCTTTCTTCGGCTGCTTCATTAATTGCTCCTGCTGATTTCTCGGAGAATTTTAATTAGAGCTCTCTCCCTCTGGTTGTCCCCCAAGGCTGTTTCAACGAAGGGCACAACTTAAGAAATAGAACAAGTAAATAAAATGTGTCTAACTTATAAAACTTGTACAAATTTATGAATAACTAAGTGAATAATAGCATGCGTTAAACAACAACAAAAATGTTTAATTATAGACAGAGCTACCGAGGGACAGACAGGATGTTGGCAGGAGCTCCATGCTGACGCTGCCCTCTATCCTGAGGCATTCGACTGCCCAAGCTCTGGAATACTGCAGACTATCAAAGAGAAAAGCTAGCTCTTTGTACTATTTTCTTTTCAAAACAACATAAAACTAAAAAGCAATTTATGTTCCTGAAACAACTTATGAGGATGTGCATGTGTTTGAATAAACAACTGTGCTGAGAAACTTGATTCAGTACATGGAATCGTATCACGGCAGATTTTTTTTGTTTTTATGAGACAGTCTCACTCTGTTGCCCTGACTGGAGTCCCATGGCATCAGCCTAGCTCACAGCAACCTCAAACTCCTGGGCTCAAGCAATCCTGCTGCCTCAGCCTTCCGAGTAGCTGGGCCTACAGGCATGAGCCACCATGCTCGGCTAATTTTTTCTATATGTGTTTAGTTGCCTAGCTAATTTCTTTCTATTTTTAGTAGAGATGGGCTCTTGCTAGTCTCAAATTCCTGAGTTCAAAGGATTGAACCACCTTGGCCTCCCAGAGTGCTAGGGTTACAGGTGTGAGTCACCGTGTAGGCTATATTACAGCAGATTTTAAGAGCGTAATTTCCAAAGATGTGCTTGTTCTCTCAACATCTCCTTTGATGCCAGGGGAAAACTACTAGCCTCTATATCTAGCAATTTTTCTTCTTTCATGACAAGTCACTGTTAGGAATAATCAATACAATCGCTTTAAATAACTAATGGTAAAACTCAGGACAGGCTTTGATTTTGAGGAGATTCAGTAAACATCGTACATCTTTAATTTCAAGCTTGTTTCAAATCTCAGCCATGTGCTACTATCATTCTCTTTTTATATCAGCACAATGTATACATGATCAGTGTTCGGTTAATGGTAAACATCATAACATAACAAAATTTATTATGATTCGTTTCTTAGATGGAATTCATTCAAAGTACTTATATGCCATGTAGAAAACATGTTCCTTGTTTAAAAGTTAATTCTAAACAATCACAAACTAGAACAAAAAATATTGTGAATTACATTTCATCAGAATGAGCAATTAATAACCAAAAAGAGTTCCAATTTGTGATTAGAAGGCCATGCTTCCAAAATTTCTACTGCTAACGCTATCAAAGCTTATTGATATCTAATCTACTAATGACTAAACCAAGCTGCATTCAGACGCACAGATACTTAAATTTTATTCTAAGAAATTTTAAGGTTGTAATTGATGGCTTACTTATGATAAATATGGCCCTTCACAGGTGACTTGACTTCTACCTGTTCCCTTCTAGGCTTGATAGAGAAAGTAACAACTGAATTATCCACGTCCATCTACCAGCTAATCAATGTCTATTGTAGCAGCTTTTATGCCGATTTTCAGCCTGTAAATGCACCTGGATGCATTTCCTACGTACATCCCGGGCTCCATTCCCACCTGAGCTTCACAGTGCACGCAGCACACAACATTCCAGAGACCTGGGTGTACAGGTGAGTGGTGGCGAGTTTTGCAGAAAAGAGTGATTTTTTTACACAGCTTCCAATTAGGGTGCATTTTGACTTGCTCTTATTGGCAGGAGCAAATATTTCATAAAATTTGGGGAATTAATCAACATCGATTTATCTTTATTCTTAAAATCACTTTTTAAAAGTTTAGATTCCCAGTGGATAATTTATTTTTCTTCTATTTTATTCTTCTTTTTAATTCTTCTATTTTATTCTTCTAATTTATTCTTCTTCTATTTTCCTGTAGTATTTTCTTAACTAAATTAATTAGGGTAATATTATATAATGAATGTAAATTCTTTATGGATTATATCTATAAGAGAATACTGATTAAATTAATTCAAATTGCGAAGAGACTAGTAATTGGTAATAGACTTATTGTACCTATTGCATTTAGCATTTCAAGGATTAACTAAGAGAAATAATTTCAATAAAAGATAAGTAATTTTTATCTTGATCTATATTTTTCTCAAATTATTAAACTGTATAAATATTTATAGAGTCAATTAAAAAGAAAATTTTACCTATGTATATAAAGAACATATACACATTCTTTAGAATCCATTGAATGATACTTTATGCTTTTTTTCTCTCTCTGAATTTTATGAAGAACTTTAAAAGGCTCAGTTATAATAAATTGCTACCCTAATGGATATTTTCTCAAATTTCCTACCCATCAACATATACTCCTTACTTTTAATTCACAAAGAAAATTCCTATTCCAGATAAATACAGATAAAGCTATATGTGTAGAGCATAAATTTATATATGTGTGTCTATATGTATATGAAGAGATATATAACATATGTATATACAACATATAAATATACACATATGTATATAAATGTATATAAAATGCATATGTGGGTTTAAAATAAAGTGTATATTTGTATATATATAATCTAGCTCTCAAACTCCCTTATGAAATCTTTCTCTACATAATACCTGTATACAGAGTAAAAAATAACAAGAGTATTTTTAGCATTGTTACATGGAGGTAGTATTTACATATGTGTGTATAATTATAGATTTAAAATAATGCTTTCCTGCAAAAATCTGTATAATCAATAAATAAATGAGGGCTTTGATACAGGAAACAAAATTATCCCTACCGTTAGAGGAACAAACTATAAATCCAGGGCTGGAACAGGAAAAAAAATCACCTGTTCCTCTCTTAAGAAATCCATGGACCAGGCAGCCTTACAAATTCTGTGGGAAAAAGCTTCAGTAAGACTTCTTACCTTGGGGAAAATTGGATCCTTACTGTAGATTTTCCTAGGGATGTAGTACATAAGTTATCTATGGCTATATAACAAATTACTCCAAAACTTATTAGTAGATTAGCACAACAAACATTGATTAGCTCACATTCTCAGGGTTAGGAATCCGGGAAGCAGCTTAGCTGAATGGGTCTGGCTGAGAGTTTCTCTGGTCAGTTGCAGTCATACTATTGATTGAGGCCACAGTCATCTCCAAGCTCACTGGGGCTAGAGAACCCACTTCTGAGCTCACTTGCATGGTTCTTGGCAGCCCTCATTCTTCCTGGTGTGTAGCTCTAGGGGAACTCAATTCCTTGCCCGGAGTCTTCTACAAATGTCCTCAAGACATGGAAGTTGGCTACTCCCCAGAGCAGGTGATCCAAGGAGTGACAGAGAATTCATGAACCAGGGAGCATTAGACAGAAGAGGCAATCTTTCATAACCTAATCTTGGAAGTGATACACTATCCCTTCTGCTATACTGGTGTATGCTGGGAAAAGACGATACAGGGATTTAAACACCCTGGAGACAGGGTCACTGGGGCCACCTTGGAGGTTGGCTACCACACCTGGAGAGAAACATCAAGGAAGAAACTAGGCCAGAGGTATCTCCAGAAGCATAAGTACTGATAAACTGGCAGCAAAATAACAAGGCAACAACCTTCTATCTTGCTTTTCATCATAAGGAACAAATTTAATGGCAGTGATTAATTTAATTGTTAGTTTAATCCAATTTAATGGTTACTAATTTAATAGTAAGGCAAATATACACAAGTTTCAAACATTCTGTAAAATATAGATCTCATAATTAAAATACAGAACTGCAAAAAAAAAAAAAGATTTTTAGATGTGTATTCATTGCACACTTCGCAACAAGATTTGATTAAATTGGGATGAGAAAGTCTTGTGCTTCGTTTCAGAGTATGAACCAGTATATGGGGACCAAGAAACAAATGTTTCTATAATTCTATAATATGGAGAATTATAATTAGTCTCTGCTTCCTGGTCGTTCCGAAGATCCTCCGATTGGGCCTCCCAGAGTTGATAAACTCTTCTTAGAGAATATTTTAAGCTGCTTTCTTCGGCGCCTTCATTAATTGCTCCTGCTGTTCTCAGGGAATTTTAATTAGAGCCTCTCTCCTCTGGTCTGTCCCCAAGGCCATGTTTACACGAAGGCACAACTAAGACATATAGACAATAAATAAAGTGTGTCTAACTTATAAAACTTGGTAACAATTTGATGAAGTAACTAAGGTAATAATAGCATGCGTAAAAACAAACAAAAATGTTATATTATAGCAGAGCTACCGAGGACAGAAGGCAGGATGTTGGCAGAGCCTCCATGCTGGGACGGCTGGGGCTCTATCCTGGGCATTCGGGATTCTGCAAGCTCTGGAATACTGCGACTATCAAAGAAAAAAGTAGCCTCTTTTGTACTATTTTCTTTTCATAACAACATAAAACTAACAAAGATATTATGTTCCTGAAAACAACTTATGAGGATGTGCATGTGTTGAATAAAAGATGTGCTGAGAAACTTAGATCAGTACCTGAACGGTGATCACGGCAGATTTTTTTTTTATGAGACAGTCTCACTCTGCTTGCCCTGACTGGCATCCCATGGGCGTCAGCCTAGCTCACAGCAACCTCAAAACTCCTGGCTCAAGCAATCCTTTGCCTCATCTCCGAGTAGCTGGCCCTACAGCATGGCCACCATGCTGGCTAATTTTTTCTATATGTGTTTAGTTGCCTAGCTATTCTTTCTATTTTTGTAGAGATGGCTCTTGGGGCTAGTCTCATATTCCTGATTCAAAGAGTTGAACCACCTTGGCCTCCCAGAGTGCTTAGGTTACAGGTGTGCAGTAACCGTGTAGCCTATATTCAGCAGATTTTAAGAGCAGTAGATTCAAAGATGTGCTTGTTCTCTACATCTTCCTTTGATGCCACGGGGAAACTACTAGGCTCTATATCTTAGCAATTCTTCTGTCTTTCATGACAAGTCACTGGTAGATAATCAATACATGTAATCAACTATAAACATAAGTAAACTCAGGACAGGCTTGATTTAGGAGATTCCAGTACAACATCGTACATCTTTAATTTCAAGCTTGTTTCAAATCTCAGCATGCTGCTCTATCATCTTCTTTTTATTATAGCACAAGTATTACATGATCAGTGTTCGTTATGTAAACATCAATAACATAAACAATTATTATGATTCGTTTTAGATGCAATTCTTCGTAAATACTTATATGCCATGTAGAAAACATGTTCCTTGTTTAAAAGTTAATCTAAACATCACAAACCTAGAACAAAAATATTTGTGAATTACATGTTCATCAGAATGAGCAATAATAACCAAAAAAGTTCAATTGGATTAAGAAGGCCATTTGGCTTCCAAACACTTTACATAGTATTCATGAGAATTAAGTTATAACTAGCAAATCCTAAGCCACCAAAGTAACTCTAGGATTCCAGTAAAATGGAAATAAAATGGACATTATTAGAAAATTTAATTTGAATTTTCTTTTGGGCTGGAAACTTATTTTTAGGAATTCTGTGAATAACCTTACATAGTTTTCATGATAATTAAGTTATAAACAGCAAATCCTAGGCTACCAAAGTAATTCTAGGCTTCCAACAAAAATAAAAATAAGTAAGGCCACCACACTAATGGACATGAACTTAAAGGACAATGACAATAAAAAAATAAGATTTTAGATTGTACTTTTTTTTAGAGTATGACTCAAGGCATTTTATTTTTCTGAGTGTTTGACTATTATTTCTTTTAAAATCCCTTTAAAAAAGAAAGAAATGAAACTATATAGTGACTCTGTATGATTTTCCCACCTCTTTTTGGTGCTGCCCAAAGTTTACTGAATGACTGAAATAAATAAGAGCTGGACACACTAAACAAAGAGAATTAGAAATGCACTTATATCCAAAAATTAGTCACTGTCATAGAAGAGAGATTGAGCTTAGACAATATCTGTAGAACTACTCTAATAATACTGAACGGTTGAACCTATTCTAGCAATTTCTTTTTATAAAAATCAAATAACCTACATTATTCGTTATAATATTCAGAAGGCTTTTCTTTAACCACACAATTTAGATTTCCTATGTTTAATAAGAAAATTGATATATGATGCGAAGACATATTTTGTCTTTTTTTTTTAATCCTGACAGAATTTATAATGTTCAGATTTTGGATATTATCAATTTGATTATTTTGTAAATTTGTTTTCTGAATAATAAGTATATCTGTACTCTTTCTTTTTCAGAATTTTTATCAAAATTCAGAGACTTCAGCAAAAGGTAAAACACTCTTATACTCAAATATTTTAAAAATGAATAAATAAAAGAAAAAAGTTATATTAATAGAACCCAAAATAATTTTTTCAATTTTTCATCCGAATACTGTGGTAACACGAAGACACAGACACACACAACCACAATGCTTTTTGAGAGAAAAAATGCTTTGCTAAAACCCTTTTATCAGTGGAAGTGATTATTCTGCAAGGGAAGAAAAATCTACACTCTCTAACCTTTTAGCTTGAATTTTTTTAAATACTGAGAAAAACCAGGAGATCTATAAAAGTTAAAAAACTGAAAATATTCTTATAACCATTCCGAAACACTGCAAAACTTTACCATTTACCTATGAATAAGTATATTTTGATGTAAGAAAAATCAGAAAAGTAGCAGATGTCTGTACTTGAAGTCA